TTTAATAGGTAGAGAGGCATTTACCGTCTAGGAATTGAAAATTAATGAAATTTAAGGAAATCAAATGTGATTCACTTTTTAAAACATCTACATCAGGACTGTATGCGCCAGTCTTTGCAACTTCGTCAGTGGCATCGTGTGTTCTAGTGCTTCAAGTAGAGCCCGTCGGGTCAGATCCAGATCCGAAAATTTTGGACCTGATGAGCTCCAGTCATCGGAAAAAATTGAACTACTAGTGCTTTTCTTGGACAACTTCATTGATTCATTTATTAATGGAAAGAACATGTCGAGACTAACATTTGGATACTAATTTCATGATATTTTCATCAAATTTTGAAACTTTAAGTTCTCAAGAAAGTAATCTATAGAGTGAATCATTATTCTAATAATTCATCTCGTTAAGGTGGATTCAATTTTGAGAGTAAGAAGACAAGATAAAATACTATTGAAATAATGAATTTGATGGGTCTTTGATGAGGCTTTAATCACATATATGTAAATCAGCAATTTATTGTTTTATTCAAGGAGATATGGCTTCGGTGTACTGATAGATGCCATTAGTATAATTACTACATTTATTATTCATTCTTATCTTTTAATATATATTTTTATTTAGAAATTGAAATACTCAAAATTCTGATAGTGATCATTTGATAACGTTTTTAGAAAGTCTCAATATCATATGTTTTCTAACGTCAACAAAATCGTGCTACTTAAAAAATTTCTAAGTATACTATTCTCCGGGTGCAATTTTTTATCTTCTTAATCAATATTTAGAAGATTTCAATCAGAAAAAAATCTAAGTTGATCTAGGTGCAATATAAAGAATTTCTGGAATTTTTTATCGAGAAATTTACGCCTGATCCTTCTCAGGAACGGAACGAAGAATAAGTGGCATCAGAAAGCCGTTTAGATGTTATAAAGAAACGTCAAAATTTGCTCAGAGTTATAAGATGGCAAAAATCTAGACAATATAAGCAGTGTTTTCAAAGAATTCATCTTTCGCCTGATTCCGAAGTGAACCAAGGGATATTGTTCGACAAAAAAAGTTTCAGCAATTCTTTATATTATATCTAGACCAACTCAGATTTTTATGCTGATTTCGAACATCATACTCGTGTATCAGTGCTAGGAATTAATTGTTGGATTCCAACCGACCTTTTTAAAGAATCCTCTAGGTGTCAACACTGATTGTTCACGTCATCTATTGATCAAAATTTAGTCGCTTTATATGTTAAAGACACAAGCGTTATGTTTCACGATGTTGTAAAAGAACGTTCAATAGTCAGCACAGAATCTATTCTTGGACACTGTTGCATGATTGAATGTAGCCTTAGAATTTGTCCACTAATACTTTTATCCAATAGGTGATAAACATTATTAGCAAAGTTCCAGTCTTCTGAGACTGGCTGTGGTTGAATATTTATAGTATTCTGTATTTTGCATTGATATTTTCAATAACAATTATTGAAAGAGCACTAATTGGTTGTTTAAATTCAGAACACTCACGACATTCTGTTGTTTTACCGTCATTTGCATCGAGAAAATCAAAATTTCTAGTTCCAAGATTGATAATCAATAATTTTTCATAAGTTACATGGCTTCTACTATCGCACTAAGTTATAAGAGAGACATAAGGATATGTCATATATTCTGCAATTTGAGGCAATCAAGTTTCAGCTCAGTCATTGGAGACCAGTAGTATTGTTCAAACCAACGAAATATCAGGCAAACTTGCTATGAATAGCAATTACGTTAGCAAAATAGATTCGTGATCATGTGACGAGTGTTATTGGCACAACAGCTATCTGCTGATTCGTAATTCATGTTAATTCAAAACTATCATTCACCAAACTATAGGGACATTCCTTGATACTTGTCAAGTGAACAAACAATACCATAAACCACAAATAATGAAAGTTCACGTGTCCGATGCAACAATTTTTTAATCCAGACGCACTTCGAGGTATCCTTTGACTATACGAGCATATATTTGTTTAACAATGGTGGTCACAATCTAAATTGAACATCATTAAAAAGTATTTCAATCAAGTTCGCATGCCCAACGAATACATCTAATAGACGAAACAACCTGTTGTCCCTTTTCGACAGATGTTGTTATTCCAGAATTGATTAATATTTCTTCCTTATGAAGGTTGCCTTTTTCTTCTATAGAAAGACTTCCACAATGATATACAAAAGTATAAAAATGAATCTTATTTGAAATATTAAGAACTGAATTCTTGAAATCATCCACAGTGAACTTTGCTAGTAAATGTCCCACAGTTGATTGTAGGCCGTGAAATTGAAATTTGAATAGAGTCAATTTCCCTAAAGCGAACACACTTCACATCGGTACTTCCTGTGACTTAGATATCTCCATCATTTTGCATCCTAAGACAGTATTTTTAATACTAAGAAAAAGACCATGAAATTTTTCATTCTGTGATTTAAAGAAACAATTTTTAGTTGTTAAAACAGTTGAGTAGTGATTGGTACGAAATCAAGAATTAAAAACGTTCTCTTTATGTACATTTTCTTAAAGAGAACGCATCAGCGCAACATAAGCAAAAATGTGAATAAACTAAGAGTTTACATATTTTGACCTGAAAATTTAATTGAAATATTTTTACAAATGGTATTATTCGATTCCTCATCTTCAACTCTATCATATTTCAGTGGTTTAGCTTAATCAATGCTTATCTCAATTACTAATTAAATTTTATAGAAATATATGCGGCGTTCACTTTATATGTCATTTCGGTGAAACGAACGTAACACCTATTTTGTCTGGAGATCAAGCATCCTTCAATATTACACTCATTTGCCACTGATAATAAAAGATCCTCAATTATAATCCATGCTGCTTTTGCTGATATTTTGCGTACATGTGGAGGGCCTTATTCAAAGAGAAAGCCTAAGAAGAGTTGAAGCTAAGTGTTTGAAATTTATAGACGAAAATTGAGTTATAGAAGAAACCTTTAACAGGAACATAAACAAAGAAAAGATCGATTTTTAGTTTTTCGTCATCTTACGGCGTTCGAATCATTTTATTATCATTTTCAAGTAAAAAAAGAGAGAAAATCGCTGACAATATATTAATAATTAATAACTACAGTAGCATTTTATAGTGTATTCACGATACAAAATTGTAATTAACAGTGAGTCGACATTGATTATGATAGGAAATATTAAATTGAAGATTAAAATTCGCAATGGCATGATGGTGTGGATACCAAAAATCTATTCATTTAACTCACACCCCGCACCCGCAGGGGAGAGGATCTCTTTTAGCTTTGGAAAAATGTTACTCCCATCAGTTTTATGACTTTCTGGAGAATTTTCTGTCTTTTTCTTGTATGCTATTAGCATTGAAACCACATACAACCTCACTTATCCACCTTTGACCCGGCCCAGCCCATTGAGATCTTTGATGTCTATGTACACATATACATGTATATACAACGACAGTCTGGACGTTAGCTATTGATTTCTACGCGACGACAGCTAATATTTATTGTGTTCAATTCAATGAACAAGAGTCATTCAACTAATCAATAACAACTCTATCAAAACGATGAACTATGAAATGTAGTTATTGTTAATGTAGATATGTTGCTTCGATTATTTGTTTCTCATTTTTTTCTTTCTGATGAACTTGTTAGATTTATAGTTTGACTGTAAAATAGTGTTTTGTTCTTTTTTTGCCATTGTTGATGTTCTGCATCTCTTCTTTTTACGCACTATATGAAATGAGATGTATATCTTTTACTTTTTCGTGTATTTTACTGAAAACTTGTAGTGAATATGAAACGGTAGTGACAGGAGATAATTCTGTTGACCCATAAAGGGACTACACCCGAATCACAAGGCACAGGCAGGAGTTTCAAGAAAATAGATTCAAGCAAGAATACAAGAATCTTATTGGTGTGGCAGTTCTTGCATAGTCGGCTAAGATTTGCCCTACATGGATCTAGCCATAAGGTTAAGATCTATTTTTTCAAGCAAAAATTTTATGTTGAAATAAATGTAAAAAGAATCTCGAAAGAGTTATGACAAGAACGTTGACTAGTGTTGAAATAAGAATTGTTAGCTTCTTTTGTTTAATTGCATTTTACAGTTAATCTGAATATGAAAAGGCGTTTTTTTTTAAAGTCATCATTTAATAAAATTGTATAAATGACTCATCAGCAAAGAATAGAGGATGAACTAACATAGTTTCCTTCCATTATCGGTTATTCCATAACTTTAATCTATTTTTGTATACACAAATGTATAAATGTTTTGCTAAATGTTTAGCAAAAAAGTGAACACGAGTATTCATGTTGTCATTGCCTCTGAGCAAATCTTTAGGAAAAAGCTCGTAAGAGTACATGAACAGTATTATTAACATAAAATTGCTCGAGTACACACGCGAGTAATTTGGATACTCATGCTGCAAATTATACTCACTTAGTGAGTAATTTCATTAGAGTATTTTTTATTATTTCGAATTGACATGAATGCAGCTATAAACAGTATAGAATTAATCTTGAGACAAACAATACATAATAAATTTTCTTATCTATTTATTTTAAAATAAGAATTTTTCTTTATACATAAATTAATATTGAACGACAAAACAGTAACTATTAATTGTTCATCATAAATTGATTTTTCACAAATGTAATTCGTTACTATAGATTAATTGTATCCGTCAGCTTCCAGTTAATTTTTTAATACATCATATGACTCGAATAATATTTCTTTAAGTTTCTCTTGTTTCGAATTTTTAGTATGAAGAATTTAAAAGACTATTTTCTCTAATTCTTGGATTTACATTGCAAGATTAAAAGAACAGGTCTCTATAGCTTCAAATATAAGTCATTCAATATTAAAGTTCGTTCTAACTCATATACAATTTGCATTATAAGATTTATTTAAAATGACGAAGTTTCTTCAAAATTTTTGTTTTTATGCTATTCGACGTGTTTTATGGCTAATAAATTTATTATTTTTTTTTAGCTTTTCTTTTGTCTTTCAACTAATATTGAATTAGGTTTATTATAAATCGGAGATGATGCTAATGATCGATCAAGTAAATGTCGTCGTTGACTTTGAGGTGATTGTGAATAGTTAACTATTTCTATTGGTAATGATGATAATGTTGAATTTTGTCTTATTGTGATGGATGATTGTTCTTCTTCTTCTTCTTTAATTAGTTTTAATTGAATAAAATATTTTGTTATATGTTCAATAATTGATTCAATTTGATCATCAAGTGATCGTCTATTCGATGAAGAATTTAAACGTAAAAAAATATTTTCAAGAACTTTTTTATATTCAACATCGTCTGTTGACCAAATGGATTTAAATTTATGTAATATATCATCATATATACATTGATATCTTAAATCTGTTTCAATATGATGATAATGATTAATACAAGCGAGAATTATTGTTTTAAAAGTTCATTCTTGTATATCAATAGACAATGTCGGATGGCGATTATGATATTTATCAGCTAAACGACGAAGTTCATTATCAGTAATTAATTCTCTTGCTAAAAAAGAAAAAGGAAAAATTTTTCTGATTGATAAAACTTTTAAAAATTTTTTATCTTTACAAAATTTTGTTGATATTTTATTTGTGACATTTTGCATGATTACATGATAAACAATTGAAGTAAGCTGTTGATTGATACAATTTCAATTGAGAAATGTGTAAACATTTCATTTTTCTTTTTATTCTTCATATATATATAAAACGCATCATGGTCTTTTTTTTCGTCTTCTATACTATTCAATTATTGAAGGGTTCTTTAAAAGTGCATTTTGTTTGCTTAACTAAATTGAATATACACTTTTGACAAATTACCAAAAGCAACGTATTGCTATGGGAAATAATTCATATTGACATTCGTTAAAATAAATTACTATGATAGTCAATATTAATTAAAATGGAAAGTATTCCACTAATATCAAAGATGAAATTCCAAAGATTACGAGAGAAGTCTCTTAATTGATTAATCGCATTTGAATCGAGACTGGGTGTATTTTGTAGATTCAAATGAGCTATGAAATCTTGTCATTATACCTATCTTGAAATACAGCTATGATAAAAGCGTATCTTGTACATCGCTCATATATAGTGTCTTTCAAAAGTCGATCGGGTTCAAGTCTAAAAATTTTGGACCCAAGAAACTCTAGTCAGGCACAATTCAAACTATACACATGAGTTTTCTATCATTTTATTCAACTTTCTTGAAAGTTTTCTTTTACATAACTTTATTGGCGCTTGCTGTTCAACATGTCTACACTGAAATGAAACTTATGAGTCCACTGTTTTCAAGTTTTTGAAAAATGAAGCATTACCTAGAATTTCTATTCAAATCATTGTATTCTTCTCAGGAATTCTTCTTGTTAATTCAACCTGATCTTTAATAGACATCTTATGGACATTGTCTTTCATGTATTACTATATAAACAATTCGAAAAATCCAAAGTTCAATAAGCGTGAAATTCATCAAAAAGAATCATCTCTTTGAATTCACATGTTAGGAAGAGAAGCTGTCTAGAAAATTGATGCATGTCATAGATGAAATGCGGCGACACCTCATTTTGTTGAACCACTTAACGAGTTCTGCAATAATTCTTAATGATGTTGAAAAAAGATTTCAAGTAATCAGAACATTTCCTGTGAATACACTTTCACTAATAACATGAATTACATTGATGTTTTTGCTTCTATCATTATTGTAGAACGTTCAGAATGTGACTGGTCTGCTCAAGAATCATCAGTTTCATAAAATTGTTTAAAAGTCTCTTTAATATCATCTTCATTTATTGTTTCTGTGTCAAATTCGACTAGCATAGTTCGTTCTACAATCATAGCTGACTCAAATTCGGCCATGAATAAAACTATTTCGATTCCAATATTAATAGGCATAGACATTTGATTTGAACCATGTTGAATAAAACTTAAAGAAATATCGAACGAAGTTATAGAAAATTAATGCAAATCATTTGAACTGTTCGAGCACTATTCACGTTTTTTTTTAATATCCCGATAGACTTTTGGAACAGTCTGTATAACGGCAGATTGAATGTTCTTATTTCAGTATAGAAGTCGATCAAAAGACATGAAACTTTCACAATAAGCTACTTTCGTTAAAGTATGTTTCTATGCAAAATTTCAAGTCTAAAATCAGTTGTCCGGGTGTTTCTAAGGGAAATGAGAGCATTCATTTAAAACTACGGTGAATTCTGCAGTATCTACGCAACAATAGGCTAAGGATTCGAACTCTTTTCACAATATTCAGAAGTCTATATAATACGCATAGTCCCAGCTGAAAAGCAATTAATCAGTTGGAGGATTTCTCTTGTTAGTAGAATCGAAATCGTATATTTAATTGTTTTTATATGTAAGAAAAAACTTTATGATGTTTAGTTTTGTTATTATGAAGACAGCAAGTGTTGTTTATTTCTATAGGATTTTTCTCATTTTTTCCTCATTAAAACCATTCTCGTCTTTGAATGATTTTCTAATACTTTGCAGTATTTCTTTGACAATATAAAGATCATTACTGCATAAACCTACTTTGTCCTTCCTGGTTTCTGGAATGATTAACTCCAATGCCATTGCTATTCTAGTACCGGGTTACGTTATCATGATATTGTTTTATTTGAATGCTTTTCCGTTACAGACATAATAGCATTTTTGACCTAGACATTATATTTGTAATATCTATTCAACAATGTTTAATTATTTCATAAATACTGACTAACATTTTGTTTTAATAATAAATACTGTTTGATAGAATTTAATTATTTTCTTTAGAAAAAAAAACGAAAACTTCAATTTATTAATATAGAAAATAACTTCCAATGAAATCTATTCATTAGCATTTTAATATTATTAGTATTATATAAACTTTTTTTTTCAACAAGTAAAATTAGAACTTTTAGTTCAACAAATTCATATAACTGATTTCTAGTGTACTTATTCATTAAATAAGTGACTGCGACCTAAGTAGTTAATGAAATGATAATCTTGTCTTGAAGTAATCCAAGTAGTATTTTTTTAGAATTATTTTATATTAGATGTAATTTATATATTTAGGCTATACTGATTCTCTAAAACTAGTAGAAAAATTCGTAGACTGAATTTTAATTTAAACAATATTCTGTGCTTATATATAGAAAATTTGCATGAGAAAATATTTGAAGATACAATAAGTATCGGCATTACTCTTATTAGAAGACGGGCAAAATAAGTCTTCTTTTTTTTTCTTATTAAAAAGGTCAAGTTATTGCTTGAATGTTTCTTGTCGAATTCACATATATATTACAAGAGAAATAAATATGATGATTTGTCAAAGTTCCCCGTATGTATATAAATTGGTAATTATATAACAAATAAAAGTAATTACGGAAGTGTGAGTAAGTAGAAAACGTTGCCGAAGAAAAAAAATGAGAACAAAAAAAAATCTTTTATTCATTAATAAACAATAAATAAATAAATATCAAGTTTTCTACTTTTCAAATCTTTATTGTGTTGATTAAAGCCTAGTTTTTAAAACTATTATAATAAAAACTTTTTATTTGAAATGTTTCATTTTTGAAATCTTAATTTTTTCTTCTTGCTATCTATGATTATTGAGAGGAAGAAGGTAGATATTAATATACCCTGAGGGCATTTTATAGCAAAAGGTCGAAACTAGCTGTCAATCTTTCTTTTCTTTACCATAAACAATACTAATCTATTTCCATTACTCAAGTAAACAGCTTCTTATGGCAATGTTTTACTCAATATATAGGAAACTTATGTTGTCGAGGAACTTTTATTACTATATTCATATAGCAGTCTCCATTTGTCTTTTTTTTATTAACTAGCTCTTCGGTTAGTTATATCTTTAGGCAATAAATAGCAATTACAAACATATGTAGGCAACAATAATAATAATAATAAATTACATCAATACAAAGGTAGACATTAGTACATAAAAACTCTGTGTGAACTAGTCATAGTTATAATTTAAATAAAACATTTATTAATGACTATATATATATATATATGAATCAGAAGAGAATTTTAAAATTTTGATGAGATATTTATTAGTTTTAATTTGTGATTTAATGAATAAATACCTTGAAAGTAAGATTTTTTTTCTTTTCTTAACAACTAAGATAAGAAATATTCTCATTGAATATTCAATGCAAAAGTAGAAAATAAATGCATACCGATCGAGAATAAATGAATGAATGAACTATTTAATAATTAAAACAAGAAACTTAACATGAAAACAGAATATCAAAAGAAAAGGAAGTAAGAATAGATTTTGTGCGTATTATTCGACAAAGACTCGATGTATTCAACTGACCTAATTTAATTGACAAAAGAATGATAATGTATGATGCATTCTAATCTAAGCTATTTAGATGTTTTATGTCGATCTGAAAAATGTCGCAATAATTCACGTAGTAATAAGTTAAAATAATAAAAACAGGAAAACATTAATAAAATAAAACATTATTTTGTCACTTCTATTTTTGGTAATAGTATAAGGATATATTTAAAACAAAATTGCTTTCAATCAAGACATTCATACACATAATTGTCATAGATAACTGTTTGTATATATTTTCTACATGTTTATAGGCGTACATGCTTTTTGTTTCTTGCTGCACTTATTGACATGCAAATCGCATGTCAACTTGCATTATTTTATTTTCTACTCAAAGCTCAAAAAGAAAGAAGAAGCTTGAACTAAAGCAATATGACACATGCATTTCACACACTTATATATCACATTCTATTCACGAATTCATAATGAATTGATCATGCAATGATCCATGGCATGCTTCAATTTTATGTTGACAGTCTCTTTCATGTTACATTAACGCTTCAAACTTAAGAGGACGGAAGATAAAAGTGTTAAAAAGTTTGACACTGAATAGGAGAAATTATTTGATGACTTGTCTCTCTTGGCTTTCGTCTACACCTATCAGAAAGATAATTGATGCAGAAGAAAGAGGATGAATATCTGTCGACTCTTTTCCTTTCTGAAAACTTCCGTTTCTTCTTCTTTTCTTCGTCTTTTTCTCTTTCTGTTTATCTCACTTTGCTTTTTATATTTCCCACATAGTTCTTCTTTCAAGTAAAGTAGTCAAAAAAAACAATCTGTATATATATACATTTACTTCTATTTTGTATTGATAATGAATTTTGGAATGAATAATACAACAACAGCAGCACTTATTCATGTTCACATTCCTAGTTTACGTATACTTATTGCATTTCTTTGTTTTGTTCTTTATCTATTTGGTTATACCGGTTGTCTATTATCAATTGTAACGTTTAGTTCAAAGAAACTTCGTCATCATTCCACCGGTTTTTTATTTTTTGTTATGGCTTTTGTTGATATATTTAATTTAATTGCTAGTTTACAATATTTTTTTGATGTTATCTATCAAATCAATGTTTATACAATATCTATACATTGGTGTCGATTCTTTACAATGTAAGTTGAACTGATGTGTTGTTGTTTTTTTTGATTTCATATCAAATTGATTAAATTGATGTTTGTATTTTTCTATTTTAGTTTTAATTATGAACTTTATTTTGGATTTTCATGGGTACTTGTTTTTATATCTGTTGATCG